TGATTCTCTTCTATACTCATATATATACATTGATTTGATCTCAAATCAAATCCTAGCATACTTAAACATTAAAATATGTTATTTATAACCATATAACATATTTATTATTATTTATCACCATATATTTAAATTTACAGGGTTTTACACTCTTGTTGTTGTTCTCTTTATTGTTTTAAATTTCCTTTTCAGGTAGCTCAGAGTTTCGGAGAGCCGCAGGATGACGGAGTTCTAGCATAGTCGCCATCGTATATTTTAGTAACTGAGAATCCACTATAGTTTTATTTTCTCATTCAGATATTAGAGTTTTATTTTTATATTATAAAGGCAGTATGTCTTAGTACGATTTTTAGTTGATTCATGTTGAGATACTTTCATTATTCCAGATATGAAATGTATTTCAGTTGAGACATGATTTTCATTTATGAGGTATCTCTTTCTATATCATGTCTATTGTTTTTATTTTCTTATTTTATCTATTTTGTACCTACGCTTATATTTGATTCTACTAGAGGATATTAATGTGATTGGTTAAACGTGTTATTACACGGTATTAGTGCATGACAGGTTTGACATCTCGAGTTTACCTTAGACTGCGACCATGTGTGAAAATATAGGCGTCACAATAATATAACAAGTTGACTTATACTATATAATTCGACTCATACCTTCCATAAATCGACTTATAATATGGTCGTTGCACAGTAACGACTAGTTTTTAGATTTTGTTGTTTTTGTCTTTTTCTTTAGTTTTTGGGGTTTGTGTTGTGAACCTATATATACCCCTTACCCTCAAACTTTTGAACTTAACTTAGAAAAATTTAAATCAAATTTTTGGCAAGTTTATTTAAGAGTTTTCAAGTGTTTCAAGTTTATTTATGTGAAGATTGTTGCACAAAGAGAAGGATTCGATTTTTAACATTAAGGAAGCTCATCCTCAACCTTTTACATCTCTTTGCTTGATAATTTTTCTAAACTCCTCTTTATCTAGCTTGTTCATACTTTAATTGTTTCATTTATTTGCCAGATCAATTTGAGTTTAGTTTTATTTTTATTACTCATTGATTACACACACCCACTTGAGCTTAAGTATTTCACACATAGTATATTGAGGTTGTGAGATTGTATCATTGGGTGTGAGCTTAATTTCGTTCTCATTCTTGTTAGAGAACAACCCCTTTTATTTGTACTTGATTTTTGTGAGATCATATTATAATACACAAGGACACCGAGAGGAGTGTGTTGTGAGAGACGAGATTAATTCCAAGAGGAGTGGCGTTGATAGTAAAACCTAGGGAGAGGTAGTAAATTCGAGCATTTGAGAAAGTTAACACGGGCTAGGCCAACACTTAGAGGGTGCATTATGTAATTACATTTGTGAGAGTTGTGAAAGTTTTCAGTGAGCTAGAAAACTGATTATGTAAATGTCTTCGGTGAGCGTTGAAAACCAATTATGATAGTGGTGAATTCTCCTCGTGAGTGAGGAGTGGAGACGTAGGTCGAGAGTGATCGAACTGCGTGATCATATTGTATGTTTGAGTTTGCCTTGGCGTATTATTTGTGCTTATTGCTTATTGCTTTCTATATCATCATTATCTCATGTTTATATCACCCTTAGTTTAATTGCATATCATTGCTCATATATCTTGTTGTATATCATATTTGCTAGGATATTTTTAATAAGTTTTAATTTGGTATTAATATTATATTAGATTAGCATATATCCTATTTGTGATGCCCCTGGGTTCACACAAGGCTACAGTCCGAGGTGAAACCAGAAATGTCAAACCTGCCATACACCACACCATGCAATAACATGTTTCACCATCACAATTACTATCTCTCTAGTAGAGTCAATAACA